GCTAGTATGTTTTCCTGTATGTTTTGTTCTCCCAAAGAAGAGCATCCAGATGTTTTTTCTTGATGTTTGTGATGTATCATAAATCTAAATATAGTTCAGATATGTTTTATGATTGAAAAATCTCAGAAATTGTATATCCAGGATCAGCATTGATGCCTGGTATGTTTTCCTGCATTATATGTATGTTTTATTTGCTTAAAAGCATCCACATATGTTTTTTCTTGGGATCCAGAATGTTTGTGATTTATTACAAATCTAAATATAGTTATGTTTTATGATTTAAAATTATCAGAAACGGTACATCCTGGACCAGTATTGATGACTTGTATGTTTTCCTGTATTCTGTGTATGTTTTTCTTGCCAGAAGAGTGTCCACATATGTTTTTTCCATGTCAAAATCCCTCTGAAAAAGCTGCATTTCACCAGAATGCTCCAATTGTGATAAATCTCATTTTTCTCCTTCAAAACTTGTGTTACAGCTACTCAGAGCTACTGTCATGTGACCATTACCAGGTCACTTTAGCTTAAATTGCAGATTGCACGCCTCCCTCTCATTGGGAGCACATAAAACTTTGCAAGTGAGTAGGAGGAAACATATACATATTGTATCTGTAAGTTTTATTCTGGAGGGATTCTTTTGGGTAGTGTTAAAATGGCTTGACCCGTTTGCCCTGAATTGGTCAGCACCCATAAGCCAACTGTAAAATATTCTTAGACACCTCATATTCTCCTTATCTGATTCAAAATTTTGTGTGTGAGTTACTAATACCTCCACTGTAAACTCTCAAAAATATTTATGTCAATAGAGGCTAGCACTGTGGAGAGAAATGGTCGTCAATTAGATAGACTTGCTTTGATGGGCAAACTTGGCAAAATAACAATGTGACCATCTTATCTCCCTTATATCTCAGCTCATGCTCAATGTTCTGTCCAATAAATCTCCACACACAGCCACATGTACATTGTCAAACTCTGTTCAAAATTTCAAATGCATAACATGNATCGTTGTGGTGCTATAGCTTGTTG